ATGTTGAGTGTCATATAGTTAAGATTGAATTGGTGTTATTTTTAATTCATTCAGACACATTTGTCATTGTGTTGTGGACTTTTATTTACTTCAAAGTATTACTGAAAGGGAGGTGTTAACTATTAAAGAATGATTCCTGGGCCTCCCGGTGGCACAGCGTTTGAGCGCTGGGTTGCGAAGCTGCCCGCGGCCTCTGCAGCGCCGGTTCGATGCCCGGCTGCTCCCTGGCCACCAGAGGAGGGTCCCACATGGCGCGCAGACCTCTCCTGCCGCCCGCTGCTCCCCTCAGCAGTGTACTTCGGTCCTTCTGCCTGCTCTGCTCCCCGCTCTGGCTCTGGTGAATTCTCTCACCCTCCCACGCTTCTGACTGTACCCAGTGCATGTATAAACAAAACAAACAAACAAACAAATAAATAAATAAAAACATGCCTCTATTTAAAAAAAAAAATAATGATTCCTCTATTCTCAGTCGTTTTATATTTTTAAATTTTTTAAAGATTTATTTATTATTTATTCAAGCACAGGGTACAGTCAGAAGCACCGGAGGGTGAGAGACTTCACCAGAACCAGAGTGGAGAACAGAACAGGCAGACTGACAAAGTACACTGCTGACGGGAGCAGTGGACGGCATCAGAGGTCTGCGCACCATGTGGGACCCTTGCCGGCAGCCAGAGATCTAACTGGTACTGCAGAGGGTGCAGGCAGCTTCGCAGCCCAGCGCTCAACCGCTGCGCCACTGCAGATGCAGTATTCTCAGCCATTTTATACAGTATTTTTTTTGACCTTTTCTTATATGCTTTAATTCCTCTCTCCTTTCTTGTTGGTGATTTCCCTCCACTTTCACACATTTGGATGTTAATGGAGGTATATTGGTTTGTAATATTATTTACAAACATTGTAAAGCATTGTCATCCAACCTATGTACACATCACATCAGTCTCTGTTTTCATTTCTTTTCCATGTATTTTACGGTATCTTTTTTCTCCTGGGGATTCCATAGCATGTTGAAAAGTTATGACAGTCTTTCCTAAAGTGAAAACCATGTAAATTCAGCTGCATACCAAAACTCCACTCTTTAACATTTCGACCCCTACTGACATCACAAATTATATTTCATGATATTTGTATTCTCTAACATGAATCTATGATTTTTTTTTGGTGTCATATTTCCAAATTCTGAAGCAGAAACAATATTTTGACTATAGGGTTATATCTGTATTTGCTGTGTATTTACCTTTCCCTAAGGATGTTACCTATGCATAAGCCTGTGTGTTGCTGTCTCGGGCTGATGTTACCTATCCAAACATCATGTCGGGGGTCTTTATATGGTATTCATTTTATGTCTGAAATATTTAAAGTATTTTGTCTTGAGTGCTGTGCGTGGGCTAGTTATTCCTCATTGTCTTCCTGCTCTGTCTTCTCAAGACCACCAGGTCTCCATGCCACAGTCAGGTACAGAAGATTTGTTGCTAACTGTGGGACCGGGAAGAGATGTAATCGGCACCTTTGAGAATTTAGAATTATTGAAAGACCAGACATGTGAAGATACATGTGAAGGGCACAACAGTTGTTGCAATGAAGATTCCCAATAAGGGACAATTATCCATAACACACTTCCTCCTGTACAAAGTGATCCTGCGTGTAAACCATGTTGGGTCAAACTCCATTTTATGTCTGTTGCAGGTAGAGATAAATATGTTTCTGTTAGCAAAGATCCATGTGACATTTTTAATAAGACACAATCTCTGAGAGAATGTGGGAACATATGGGAAGTCCCCTAGTCCATAATCCAAATGATTATTCAAAACATTGTCAATGTGGGATAGATTTAAACTTTCAGTCATGTCATTGTCAACATCAGAGAATTAGAATGGAAGATGAAAAAAATCTACACAGGATCCTATCGAGGAGCCCTCAATACTTTTCTAGCATCATGTACTTCATGAGAAACTCTACAATTGTAAAGGATATGGCAAAGCTACTAAATGGTGCCCAAGACTTACTGAGCATCAGAGAGGGAAACCTCAGAAGTATGAAGAGCATGGTAAAGCCTTGTATTGGCATCCACAGCTGACTAACCATCTAAGGATTCATGCTGGAGAAAAGCCTACAGGCATCCTGACTGTAGTAACACCTTCCTGTGCTGTGTCACCTTTCCTGATTGGAGAGTTCATACTGGGGAGAAACCTTACAGATGTGAGGAATGTGGAAAAGTCTTTAACCAACTGTCAGCCTTTAACGATCTTAGTCAGCATCACAGAATTCATACTGAGGAGAAACCTTACAATTGTGAAGATTGTGGCAAAGCCTTTCACAATAAGTCATGTCTTACTCGGCATCATAGAATTCATACTGGGGAGAAACCTTGGAGATGTGAAGAATATAGGCAAAGCCTTCTACCATCCATCACTTTTAAGTCAACATCACAGAATTCATACTGGGGAGAAACTTTACAAATGTGAAGAATGTGGCAAAGCTTTTCACCGCAAGTCAAGTATTACTCTACACTAGAGAATTCTCATCAGAGAGAAATGTTAAAATTGCGAAGTCAATTTTTTTCACTTTAGTGTCTTTTATTCAAGATTTATTTTATTATGCATGCAAGAACTGGGGTATCTTCCAGAGGTGGGGGTGTGTGAGAGGATTCATCAGAGACAGAGTGGGGAACAGAACAGGCGATTGACTGAAATACACTGCTGAGGGGAGCAGCAGGCGAGACAGGAGGGGTCTGCTGCACCATGTGGGTAGCTCCCTGACCGGGAATCCAGCTTGTACTGCAGTGGCTGCGTATAGCTTCATAGGTTGTGTCTTAACCCCTTGTGCCACCAGTGAGGTCCCAACTTTGGTGTCTTTAACCAGAAGTTTAACCATAAGTGTCAAAATGATTAACCAGAAGTCAGATCATAGTAAACATCAGAAAGTGTAAAGCTGGAATAACTGTAAATGGAAAGTGATGAGTGGTTTGTCCAAATATGATTTTTGAAACCACCAGATTTTCATACTGGAAACTTGAAAGAAGTGAAAATATGATTAAATAATTTATCATGCAATTTAGATTCATATTAAGATATTGCAAGACCGTAGGAAGTGAGAAACACTTTACATTCCTTAAGTCAGAAAATTGTTATGGAGCATAAGCCAACATGAAAACACTAAATATTAGCATAATTGAAAAGTCTGAGGGCCTTCCTGGTGGTGCAGAGAGTTAAGTCACAGCTCTATGAAGCTGTCAGCAGCCACTGCAGCATGATTTGGTCCCTGGCCAGGGAGCTAACCACATGGAACAGCAGACCTCTCCTGACTTACCTGCTGCTCCCCTCAGCAGTGTGTTTCATTCAATCTGCTTGTTCTGCTCTGCACTCTGTCTTTGGGGAATCCTCTCACCACCTACACTTCTTGGCCTACCCCTTGGTTCTTGCATGCATAAATAAATAAAATCAATCTTTAAAAAAATATATGAGTTCAAGACAATGATTTGGGGACCTGTATAGTTATTTTCTTTGTCCTTTTTCTATCAACCATACTTGAGATATTTTGAAGAGACCTGATGAATTTAATTCAGCCCTAAATCACTTCACTCTATGGCTTTCTCCTGGTATGTACTTGGAGTCATGTATTTGACTTTCGTGCTTCAAACATCTAAGAGACCCTTTCCAGATGATGAGTTTCTTTACATCTTAATTGCTTCAGTACATTTATGATGGTGTCATGTATCATGGATGAAGAAAATCTAAATGGATATACTGGTTGTGGCTGACTGAAAAGATTGATCTCAATCACCCAGAGGAGTCGTGGACTTCATTGTGGGTATAAAAGTTAGGCAGAGAAACGTGCTGAAGTTCAACTCATTTCATTATCTCCTTCAGGAAATACACTAATAGTTTATTAATATCCTCATGTGTCTTCATGGTAATAATGGAGCCATGAATATTATTGGACGTTGTTGCCAAAAGAAATTTTCACAGGCATGTGATGAAAGAGCAGGTGAGCTTTTCATAACAGCGTGGAATTCTTGTGCATTCACATTAGCTAAGCACAGCATCTTTCTGTTGAACACCGACTCTGTGATCCAGATATCAGGAGGTCAAGATGCTTCTTAAATACCTGAATCTTGATTTGATGAAATGTGTCTTGGTATCTGAGTGTCTTATTTAGACTATATGTGAACTTCTTATGTATATTTTTTAAATTAATTCATACAAGAGCTGGGGTGCAGGCCAAAGGGGGGAGTGTGTGTGTGTGTGAGAGAGAGAGAGATGGGGAGGATTCACCAGAGACAGAGTGGGGCGCAGAACAGGCAGACAGAGAGGAATACACTGCTGAGGGGAGCAGCAGGCAGGACAGGAGAGGTCAGCCTTGCCCAGTGGGTCGCTCCCTGCTGTGGAGGGGCGGACAGCTTCTGAGTCAGCGCGGTGCTTAACCCCTTCAGCCCCCGGGCGGCCCTGTTGAGCTCTCTTCCCTCAGAGCCCTGAGCCGGTTCTGGGCCCCTCAGTTTTCATGGGCCTCGCCCACCCGCCGGTTCTCCTCAACCTCCACTCCTCCCACTGCTCGGCCGCAACCCCACCCCAACGACGGCCCCACGGCCTGCGCAGGGCATCGTGGGAAATGTAGTCTGAGCCCCCGTGGTTCCCGCGGAGGTTTCTGGGCGGGGCTTCCGCGATCTGCGCGTCCGGAAGTTTCGGCGCGTCCGGAGCGCTGCGGCCCCCTGAGGTGAGCGCGGGGTTTGTCCCGGGAGGCCGGGCTCGGGGGAGCGGAGGCGTCGGGGGGTTGGGGGCGCGGGCGAGCGGGGCCCCGGCCCGTGGAGTCGGACGCTTTGGAGCCGATTCCCGCCGGGGCGCGCGGGGGCCGGGGGCGGAGGCCGTTGGGGAGAACGTCCCGGCCATTCCGGGTTTCCCCGGCGCGGCCGCCCGGCCCTGTCCCCAGACGCTGCCCGGGGTCTTCCCGGGGCGGGGGACGGGGTCCCCGAGGCGGGGGCTTGGAGAAGCGCGGGTCCGCCTGTGCGCATGCGCGGTGACTCCTCTGGCCCCCCGAAAGTCGGGCGGTGAGGGAGGGGAGAGCCCGGCGGCGTTTCTCGGGTTGGGGGGGGCCTGGGCGAGATTCGCGCACCCCAGGTGGGGCGGGAGAGGCCCGCGGGTTGCCCGGGGAGGCGGCCCTGTGTCGGGAAACTGGGTTTGCGGGGCGGGGGGTGGGGAGAGTTCCTGGGGCGTTAGAGGTTTGTGGACTGAATTTCTGGGCGCGCTGCGCGTTCCCCCCCAGGCGGCGTCCTGCTGGCCGCTGCATTCCCGCCTCCCATCTGCACGTGCACACCCAGGGGACTCGGCGCTGTGGGGCGTTCACCGGAGTGGAGGAAGGGAAGGGCGCGGAGCCTCGGCCGGGGTGTCCTGGCAGAACAGTGCGTTCGGGGCGTCGTCTCGCTGGAAGTGGAGTCCACACTCTGCAGTGCAAATTGAGATCACCATATCGAAGTGGGTGTTTGGACTTCCTCTAAATATTGTCCTAATTCTGGAAACACATTTCTTTCCTGATTTTACTCAACTTCTGTCTTCTTTTGATCCAACCAAACTCTCGCTTCGGCCATGATTGTAAATGAAACACTAAAAAATGTTAGAAGTGCTTCTTAAGGAATTACAGATTAATTCATTTCTTGAACCATATTTGTGCTCAAATTTGATGGGGTTCAACTCCAGAATTATGTCCTAGAACATCTATGTATGTAAGTCCCATTGTCTCTGACCTGTGTACACTGGCAATCAATGCTTTGGAAGAAGGACATACTGGACAATTTTCAAGAACGCCAAGGGGTCCTTAGTAACAGCAGCTGATAGGGACTATGTCCACAAAGCCTGTGAGCGCTTAGCAGTCCTCAGTCTAGAATTCCTCCAAGTTCTCATATGCTTTCAGAGCACACTGAGGGGTGGAAATCAGACAAGGGCTATCTGAGACTGCCTTGGTCCTGGTGAATCACTTGTGACCCCAACATCAAGGACCAGCAGGAACAGTAGCTAATGAGATTATTGGTGGGAACAAGACCTGTGACCCAGTCTTTCTAGGTCTTCTGAGGCTGCTCACCTGGAATATGGATGAGGGGGAGACAGATGAAAGGCACATCTAAGACATGGAAGGTTCTGGAGATAAGTGAGCATTACATGAGGGGGATGGCACATGAGAAGGAATGAGGGAGGAATTCTTCCGGGAACTTTCAAAAGTCTGGCTGATTCCCTTCTAGAGCTGATCACAGCTATCAAGCTGTTGGCGTTTGCTAGGAGAATTTTAACACCAACCATACATGGAGTGCCACACCCCCCGGGTGGACCTGGGATCACATCCTCCCTTTATGGTGCTTTCCAGTTGTGATTTTCCCAAACCTGTGGTCTTCAAGTATTCGTCGCCTGCCACGCCACCCTTTCTGTCAGCCCCCTAACCCAGGCCCCTGCACACACTTTCCCCTCAGGCATCAGTCATGAAGGCTCTTCTGTGTGGGCAGCCTCTTGTCTCCTCTCAGCTCTCAGGTGCCCTGCCTCCAGGCCTCACTCCGCACCAGAGCATTTCTTTTTTCTTTCAGTAGTCCCCATAGCTCTCCCACCGCCACTGGGGAGGCCCTAAATAAATCTTTTTTTTTTAAAAAAAAAACAAACTTTTGGGCCTCCCACTGTGGCACAGACGTGGACCATCACTGTGTTTCCTCTCCTGTCTCGCCCCCCTCACTCTCCATCCTTTGCTGTGCACCTCAGCTCTGTGGTCAGTTCGCTAGTTTTGTCTTTTTCTTGATTTCTTTTTTTTGCTTTCTCTATATTCCACGTATCAGTGAGACCATCCGGTATTTGTCTTCTTCCTTCTGACTCCATGGGCTAGTGTACCCTTCCAGCTCCACCCTTGTTACCGCAGATGGCGAGAGTTTGTCTTTCTTGATCCCTGAGTAACATTTCATCGCGCGCCACTGCACCGGAGCATTTATGAAGAACATCCCTGGGAAGAGCCCAGCAAGAGTAGACCTGCCTCAGCTGTGTCAGTCTTTGGTCTCAGCTGTCCTGAGCCTCCCTGCTCTGTCCTCAGACCTCTGCTGGGTCTTCTCTCTCACCAGCTGGCCTGTGACCTCCAAGTGTGTCCCCCACCTGTTTACAATGACTTCTTGCTTTCGTTCATTGGAACGGAAGCCTCGGACATGGGCCTCCGGACCTGTTTTTCTGGACATTTCTGTACATTGGTATCCTCCTCTTTGCATGAGGAAGTAAGGGCAGCCCACTTTATTCTATTGCTTGTTCTCACCCTTCCCAGCCTGCTCTGCGGGAGGCTGCGCCTCCCATGCTGTCTCTTGACATCGTGGGGGCATTAGGAGAGACTCTGAGAAGTGGGGAGTCCCTGTGCTCCTCTGAGGAGGGAAAGTTGTACTTCCCGGAGATGGTAGTTCTTGCAATTCCCAAAGAAGATTGGAACTAGGGAGTCTCCAAGGCAAAGCCTTCTAAAGCTCTCCTCTTTGTTCCTGGTTAATGCTGAAGTAAGTTAGTTATTCATTGGCCTGTGAAAACCTAATTGGGACCCAGGTGACAATTGGCTTCTTGTTATTACGCATGAACTGTCACAAAAGAAGTAAAAATTGTTAAAGATATAGTTAGGAAAGAAATGTTTTGGCCCTGAGAACTATGGAGAACAAGCTGCCCTGAACTCGCTGTGCCTAACCTGGGGGTACCTGTTTGCGGCAACAGTACATCTCCTGGTGTATGCGAAATGTTAACAGTGTGCAGCTTTGTGGAGGTTCGGTATTTCTAGTTGAAGGTTAGATTTCTGTAGAACTAAACACTATTGATGAGTTACTTTTGATCACTTTGAAGTAATTGGTAATGGGCTGGAGGAATTGAGTACTAGGGAATGGGTTGATTTTAGTCATAGAGCATAACAATGGACTTTCATGTCCACTAGGAAATTAGGAAGGCTTCACAGGGTGATTGATTGTTACTGAACATTGTACTGTCTTAGACAATCGATTACATTACAAAAAGAGCTGTACCTAGGGGAGTCATTGTCCCTGTAGATTTTCTTAATCAAATGAAGGAAGTGTCCTTTTGTAGTATGAGATCAAGAGGGTCTTTGTATGTTCATGAGGAAACATGTAATGATGGCCTCTGTTCTGCTTTGATGCTTATGCTGATGTCATCTCACTGCTGGCCTTAAGGTATAAAGGAAGACCTGCTGAGACCCTTAGGAGGAGATACTTGCAGGAGAGAAGGTGTCTGTGTCTTCCTCACTCCTACCTGGCTCCACTTCCCCTCAGCCCTCCCAAAAACTTCACCAAGGCCGTCCTCTCCTGCTGAGATCCCTGACAGGACATCTAGCTGGAGCTGGTCTCCAGCCTGCTCAGATTCCCCACCTTGAACACTCCCTGTTCACTGAACTCTGCCCTTTATCCTTCCATCAGACAGGAGTATGGAATCAGGAAGAGGTAAAATGCATCTTGATTTTCCCTAATTCTAATTGAAATGTAGCATTTTATTTAATGGTGGCATCCAATTGCAGTTGTAGCAGCAGTGTCTGTGATTGTCCTGCCAGCAGAACCACATGTATTTTCTGCTCTCATGATTGGTTTTGCTTTTACAGTTGACTGACCCTTAAGCAACATGGGGTTGGGGCGCTGATCCCAGGCGGTGGAAAATCCATGTATGACTTTTAAGCCCCCAGAAACTTTATAGTCATCCCTTAGTATCTGGGAGAATTGGATTTAGGAATATCTCCCCCACACCCCCAGCAGATAGCAGAAGTCCACGGATGCCTAAGTTCCGTATAGTTGGCCTGGAGAGTCCTCAACACAGAGTCAACCTGCTGACATCTGTTCAGCGGCTGAGTCCAGCACCGGGAGCCAAAACACCACCAGGGCCCTGATGTCATGTTGCTGGGCTCTGCCCCTTGCAGTTCCTGCCCTCTGGCTTTACTCAGTTCCAGCGGGGATCAGCTCGTCGGTGCCTTTGTTCTGGTGACTGGGTAGTGCCGGAGACCTGCACTTGCTGTCCTGTGCTTCTCCGCAGTGGTTCTCTGAGAAAAAGTTGGGGGGGGGGCACCTCAACACAGGGGCTGTCCTTCAAGCCAGGTGCAGTGTCTGCCGCGCGTTCACCCAGCTCTGTGCCTGCAGCTGTGTGGATCCCGCCCCCGAATGCTGCACTCTAGGTCTCAGTTCCAGGGCTGTCAGGTCCAAAACACTGGCTGTCATCCTGTGCAGTGCCCGCTGCTAGGGCGTGACCCCCACACAGGATCCTGTGCCTGGTTCTCAGTCCCCGGATGGGGTCTTGCTCCCCGCCTGGTTTCCCTTCTTACCCCCGTTGGCCACACTGTGCTACTTTTCCAGTGTCCAAACCTTGGACAGTTTATCTGCATTTATTGAAGTGATTATTTTTTTTTAATTTAAAAAATAAATTTTATTTTTATATTCCCCCATACAATTGCAAACGCCCCATTCTGACCCCAGTCCCTCCCCTCCCACCCCCCAAAAAGTGTCTCTGCTTCATAGTTTTTTGTTGATTTTGATTTTCACTTTCTTATATTCATTTTCCTGGTCCCTTATTTAAGTTTTCTAGATTCCTACTATGAGTGAGACCATCCGGTATTTTTCTTTTTCTTTTTGGCTTATTTCGCTGAGCATGATCTCTTCCAACGCCATCCATGTTCCTGCAAATTGCATGTGTTTATCTTTTTTGAATGCTGAGTAATATTCCATGGTGTCTATGTCCCACATCTTCTTGATCCAGTCATCTATTTTTTGGGCATTTGGGCTGTTTCCAAAGCTTAGCTATTGTAAACAGTGCTGCTATAAACATAGGGGTGCAGGTGCTCTTTGGAATGGATGTTTCTGTGTCCTTTGGGTAAATACCTAGGAGTGGAATTGCTGGATCCTATGGAAGCTCTATGTTTAGTAGGTCCAGAAATCTCCACACAGCTCTCCACAGTGGTTGGACCAGTTTGCACTCCCACCAGCAGTGCAGGAGAGTTCCTTTTTCTCCACACCCTCGCCAACATTTGTTGTTGCTAGTTTTTTTAATATGTGCCATTCTCACTGGTGTGAGATGGTATCTCATGGTAGTTTTGGTTTGCATTTCCCTGATTACAAGTGATGTTGAACATTTTTTCATATGTTTGTTGGCCATTTGCATTTCCTCTTCAGAGAAGTTTCTTTTTAGCTCTTCTGCCCATTTTTTGACTGGATTATTTTCTTTGTTGTTGCTGGGTCTCATCAGCTCTTTGCAGATTTTTATTCTGTCAGTATGTTCATGGGAAGTTTTTGACAGTGGTAAATTTTCTCTGAGTGGTGGTAAGAACAGTAATCACGGAAGTGGCCTTTGCTTTGTTGAAGTGATATCCTGTGAGAAAGGAAAATGTGGGCCTCCCTGGTGGTGCAAGGGGTTAAAAGTACAGCACGGTGAAGCTATCTGTGGCCTCTGCAGCATGAGTTTGATCTCCATCCAGCCAGGGAGCTAGCCACATGGTGTGGCAGACCTCTCCTGTCTGGTCTGCTGCTCCCCTCAGCAGTGTATTTTAGTCATCCTGTGTGTTCTACTCCCCACTGTGACTCTGGCAAATCCTCTCACCCCCTACACTTCTGGCTTACCCCTCTGCTCTTGTATGCATAAATGAATAAAATCAGTCTTAAAACAAAAGTAAGAGTTCAAGACGATGGTGTGGGGAGCTGTATAGTTATTTTCTATGTCCTTTTTTATCAACCATACTTGAGATGTTGTGAAGAGACCTGATGAATATAATTGAGCCCTAAATCACTTCACTCTGTGGCTTTCTCCTGGTATGTACATGGAGTCATGTATTTGACTTTTGTGTGTCAAACATCTAAGGGACCCTCCTCCAGGTGATGAGTTTCTTTACATCTTAATTGCTTGGGTACATTGACGATGGTGTCATGTATCTTGAATGAAGAAAATCTAAATGGATATGCTGTTTGTGGGTGACTGAAAAGATTGATGTCAATCACCCAGAGGAGCCGTGGACTTCATTGTGGGCATAAAAGTTAGAGAAATGTGCTGAAGTTCAACTCATTTCATCATTTTCTCCTTCAGGGAATACACTAACAGTTTATTAATATCCTCATGTGTCTTCATGGTAGTTATGGAGCTATGAATATTACTGGACGTTGTTGCCAAAAGAAATCTTCACAAGCATGTGATGAAAGAGCAGGTGAGCTTTTCATAACAGCGTGGAATTCTTGTGCATTCACATTAGCTAAGCACAGCATCTTTCTGTTGAACACCGACTCTGATCCAAATATCAAAAGGTCAAGATGCTTCTTAAATACCTGAATCTTGATTTTGATGAAATGTGTCTTGGTATCTGAATGTCTTATTTAGACTATATGTGAACTTCTTATGTATATTTTTTAAATTCATGCAAGAGCTGGGGTGCAGGCCAAAGGGGTGTGTGTGTGTGAGAGAGAGAGAGAGAGATGGGGAGGATTCACCAGAGACAGAGTGGGGCGCAGAACAGGCAGGCAGAGAGGAATCACTGCTGAGGGGAGCAGCAGGCAGGACAGGAGAGGTCAGCCCCCCCCTGTGGGTCACTCCCTGCTGTGGAGGGGCGGATACCTTCTGAGTCAGCGCGGTGCTTAACCCCTTCAGCCCCCGGGCGGCCCTGTTGAGCTCTCTTCCCTCAGAGCCCTGAACCCTTTATGGGCCCTGCAGTTTTCCCGGGCCTCGCCCTCCCGCCCTCTCTCCTCAACCTCCACTCCTCCCACTTCCCGGCCGCAACCCCGCCCCAACCATGGCCTGATGGGCTACGCAAGGGTTTGTGGGAAATGTAGTCTCGAGCCCTGTCGTTCCCGCTGAGGTTTCTGGGTGGAGCAACCGCGGTCTGCACAGGCGCGCCCCGCCCACGCCCCTCCATAACATCCCCAGTCTCCGGGAGACCTGTGGCGCCCCGAGGTGAGGGCTGGGTTTGTCCCTGGAGGCCGGGCTGGGGGAGCGGAGGCACCGGGTGGGTTGGGGAGCGGGGGGCGAGGGCGAGCTTGGCTCCGGCCCCGTGGAGTCCGGCGCTTTGGAGCCGCATCCCCGCGGAGCGCACAGGGTGCCGGGGGCGGAGGCCGTTGGGGAAACCGTCCCGGCCATTCGGGGTGTTCCCGGACGCTTCCGGGGTCTTCCCAGGGTGGGGCACGGGGTCCCTAAGGCGAGGGCCTGGGGATGAGCGGTTCCGCCTGTGCGCATACGCGCTGACTCCTGGGGGGGCCCCCAAAAGTCGGGCGGTGAGAGAGAGGGGAGCCAGACAGCATTTCTTGGGGGGGGTTATTGCGCCCGCACGAGATTCACGGGCCCAGTGGGGGCGTGTGACGACGCGCGGGTTGCCAGCGGGAGGCGGCCCTGTGGGTGCGGGGAAGTCCCGGGAAACTGGTTTGCAGGGCGTGGGGGAGCTCGTGGGGCGTTAGAGGCTTGTGGACTGAATATCCAGGGCGCTGCGCGTTCCCCCCCAGGCGGCGTCCTGCTGGCCGCTGCATTCCCGCCTCCAGCCTGCACGAGAGCACCCAGGGGACGCGGCGCTGTTGGTGTCCTGGAGCGGAGGGCGGGAAGGTCGTCTCCTTGGAAGTCGAGTCCACACTCTGCAGCGACTCCTCAGCTCTGAGACGGTTGCTCCTGCGTGACTGTGGCGCAGGCAGTGGGCAGTGTCACCTTTTACTAAGTTGTGGTGAACCGTCCGCCCAGGCTCTGCCGCGCGTGGACTCGGGGCCGTTCCTGCCCTGCTAGAAGTGCCACCCGCTGCCACACGCGGTGACTCTTTGGTGTCTCCAGGCAGCGTGTGGCGGGCTCTGGCCAGGAGACTCCCGGGACCCGGCAGCCGCCTCTGTCCTCTGTGCTGGACCCCAGCGCCCCCAAGCGCCGCTCCCGAGCCCTGGCGCGTCTGTGAGAGCAGCGACCGTGGACGAATCTCTGGTGAGTGGCGTGTTGGCTTCAGCTCGCGGTGCATTGACTTTATGCGAGTTCATCCCTGGACATGCACATGAGAAACATAGTTTTCTGCAGGGACACATTCCTCACCAGGGAAAGGTGTGGTGTAGGTCCAGGCCCTTCCCATGTCCAGCGTGCGTGAAGATGGGGCTCTGCCCTGGTGCTCCCGCAGCGCAGAGTCTGTACCTGGGTCTCCGTTGATGTCGCTGAAGGTGTGGCCTGTGGCTCTTCACCCCGCTGGACAGAAACACTTCCCAGCTCTGCGCTGGTCAGGTGCAGGGTGCAGGAGGAGGAGGAGGAGGAGGAGGAGGATGGGCCTGAGGCCCCGAGTGCAGGTGGGGGTGAAGGAGCCACGTGTCATTTGAAAAGGACAGCTGAATTTTTAAGGCTTCTGTGCAGTTGCTGAAATCCTATACTGTGTCCCAGGTCACTCTCGGAGACTTTCATGCAGGCGTCAGCCTTGGCACGTGTGACGTTGAGTCCACTGGGGCGTCCTTCCATCCCTGCCCCTGCTCCTCTCTCAGGGGGTCTGCAAACCCCAGATACCCAGCAGGCTGTTCAGAGTCCTTTTATCTGGGCATTGTTTGCGCTGCTCCTGTGCATTTCTCCTTGTTGTTGTCTGAATGCATTTCTAGTGATGCTTCCCAGCACCCTAAGTTGTTCCCCAGTCCAGTGACACTCTCCAGCCTTTGCCTTCCCCAAAGTTCCTGCCATGTTTGAGAACACCGTGTGTGACCTTGGGGAAATTCCGTTTTTTGTAATAATTTCAAAGTTTCTTACACTTTTTTGTATTTCTTTTACTTATTTTCCCTCCTCGATCTGTCATTGACATGTGGAGCACTAAAAGCCTTCTGCTGAAAGAGTTGCCAGTTTTTTCCTACAATCCTAATGGGTCTTGCCCTACCCCTTGTTTCCCCTCTACCAAACCCCCTGGCCCATCCCCCATCTGCCTCCCTCCGTGACTTCTCCACCCTTTCCCCTGTTCCCTCTGGTGGTCATCTTTACCTTCACATGACCCTGTTCAAGTTTTATTCAAGTATTTTGCCTGTAAATATTTTTTGGATATTTATTTTCCACAGATTAGTGAAGCCATCTCATATGTGTCTCTAGTTTTTGGTTTGTTTCATTGAAGAATAGCACCTCCCGTGGCCTCCCTGGTGGCGCAAGGGGTTGAGATGCAACCGATGGGGCTGTCTGCAGTCTCCTTAGCATAAGTTCCGTCCCCCGGCCAGCCAGGAGGCAACCCACGTGGCGCAGCAGACCTGAGTGGCCTGCTGGGTCCCTCAGCAGTGTATTTCAGTCAATCTGCCTGTTCTTTTCCCTGCTCTGTCTGCTGAATCCTCTCACCCCCCTCCCCACACTTCTGGCCTGTACCCCAGCTCCTGTATGCATGAATAAATAAATCTTTTTAAAAGAAAATAGACTATCACCTCCTTGTCCACCCATTTTATCCTCAGTGTGACCTTTGCTCCTTCCTCATGACCCTGCAGTGCTCCCCTGCATGTGCTCCACCCTTTTTGCTCCGCCTCTGGCGAAGGGATGCAGGTTGGGCCATGACTGTGCTGTTCGGAACAGAGTTGCTCTGCTCCCGGGTGGGATAAATCTTTTTGTGTTTGAGTTTTCCCGTGAGGATAACGTGTAGAAGTATTGCAGATGACATGGAATTTCCGTTTTTATTTCCTTAAGAAACCTCCGCACCCTCATCCACAGGGTCTGTTCCGACTGTCATGGCCACCAGCCGCGGGTGAGTGCTCCATTTTCTCTGCGCCCTCTCCAGCGTTCTTCATTCCATATTTTTTTTTTTTTTTTCAGTCTTTGTCTTTTTTAAACACTATTTTACGTACTTTCACATCATTTTCATTTTTGCAGAGCGGAATCATTTTCATCTTCGTTATAGTCCCCATAAAATTTTCACCTCCCATCCCCCATTTTGTATAAATGCATTCGTTTTTATTTGGGACTTCTCAAGGGGTGAGGTGGCATCTAAGTGTGTTTTCGATTTACATTTCTCTTACAATAAGTTAAGGTGAACATTCTTATTATCTGTAGAAATTCAGAATTCCCTCTCTAAAAGAGTTTATGTAGTTCCTTTGTCCATTTTTTTTGTAAGATTTATTTATTTATGCATGTCAGAACTGGGGTGCAGGCGAGAGGTACAGGGGGTGAGAGGATTCACCAGAGAAAGTGGGGAACAGAACAGGCCGACTGACTGAAACACACTGCATTGGGGAGCAGCGGACTAGTCAGGAGAGGTCTGCAGTGCCATGTGGGTTGCTCCGTGCCGGCCAGGGATTGAACTAGCTGTAGAGGCTACGGAAAGCTTCATAGGCTGCGTCCCAACCCCTTGTGTCACCAGGGAGGCCCCCCTTTGTCCAGTTTTAATTGAGTCATCAGGTGGTTTCTTGCATTGCTTGGGGATGTTATAAATTTTTGGAATGAACCCCTTGTCTCGTGTTGGCATGCAGATTCTTTTTTTCTGTTCTGTAGACTGCATTTCAGTTTTTGGGTTGGTTTCTTTTGAGGTATGAAAGCTTTTAGGTTTGGTGGTGTCCTGCTTGTTGATTTTTGCCTTTTTTTCCTTTGGTGTTGGGGTTGTGTTCCCTAGTGCACTTTGTGGCAACTGCCCTTAGTGTGTTCCTATATTTTCTGTCAACTACGTCACCCAATATTTAATCCATTTAGAATTTTATAGATTGATTTATTTATCCATATAAGAGCTGGGGTACAGGCCAGACATGTGGTGGGTGAGAGGATTCAGCAGAGACAGAGTGGGGAGCAGAACAGGCAGATCTGGTGAAATACACTACTAAGGGGGGCAGCAGGGAGACAGGAGAGGTCAGGTGTGCCATGTTGGTCAGTTCCCTGACTGGGGATCGAACTCATGCTGCAAGGGCTGTGGATAGCTTCATAGTTCTTTGTCTTGACTCCTTGCTTCACCAGGGAGGCCCCATGTTGCTGTATTTAGTCGGGTAGAATTTGTTGGGGATTTTCGCTTCTCTGTTCTTTGGTGCTGTTAGTCTATTTTTCCCTTTTATGCTGTCTTTTTTTGGGGGGGATAGGACAATGTTGACCTCGTCGTATGTGTTAGTGAGTTTTCCTCCGTCTTCAGTGTTTTGGAAGATGAAATTTCTTTGTGTTTGCTTCTGTCATGGTCTCTCTGATGATTTCTTTTCCGTGTCCCTGAGTGCTTGAGTATCTTGTGCTCCTGAATGTAGCTAATCCCTGTGTTCCGATCTGGTCTCCCGTCTTCAGTCTGCACTTCTCCTGAGTGAGTCAGTCACCTGTGTTTTGCCATTTCTGCCAGTTACTCTTGAGCGTGGGCCTCTGCCCAGTCCTTCTACCACATGCTCGGCTCCCACCTGACTGCGCCTGTAGCCGTCCCGATGGCAGCTGCCACTCATGCAACTTGCAAACCTCGTCCTGTGTTGTGTCCTCCCGTGTGGAATTAGATCCTTCTCAGCCCAGGTCTCCCTCCAGCAGAAAGGGATTTCTTTATTCCAGAGTTTAGTCTCACCCAATATAAGTTTCTCTTCAGTATTACCTGATATGTTAATGGTTGCTAACAACAGCACCACTGTGTGTATGTATGTATGTGTGTGTGTGTGTGTGTGTTTCAGTTCACATTACAGTTCTCATTCTTGGCCAAACCTGATGGATGCAATTTCTCAGTGATGAGGTTGCTCCCTTTTCTGCCTCCCACTGGCCAGTGTGTGGTGACACCTCAGAGTTCAGGGTGAGAAAGTACTCAGGGGGTCAGTAAATGTAGTTTTTAATAATGAGCTTCACGAATTTGTCATTGAGTCTGGAATACAGTAGGTGTGTGCATTAGTCATACATACGATTCTTGCTGAAGTTATCGTTAATGGGTATTTTCTTTTTAGTTTTTTATTAAAGATTTATTTATTTATTTATACAAGCACTGGGTACAGTCAGAAGCGCCGGAGGGTGAGAGAATTCACGAGAGCCAGAGGGGGAGCAGAACAGATAGAAGGACCAAAGTACACTGCTGAGGGGAGCAGCGGGTGGCAGGAGAGATCTGCGCGCCATGTGGGACCCTCCTCTAGTGGCCGGGGAGCAGCCAGGGATCGAACTGGCATGTCAGAGGCTGTGGGCAGCTTCGCAACCTAGCGCTATACCGCTGTGCCTCCTGGGAGGCCCATTAATTTCGATAGAATGCTTATAGAATATTGTTAGAATGAATATATTTTACAACCTAATTTTTGCAGCTCTCCTGTCACTTGTGACCATGGAAGTATTTCATTTTATAAACCTTTGCACTGTGGGGAGCAGCAGTGGCTGCTCTTCTGCCCATCGTGACTCTTGCTTTCTTTTTCTCCTCTTCCTACTAAACCTGTCCCTCTATTTATTCATTCATTCATTTATTCATTCATTCATTTTTTAAAAGATATACTTATTGTTTCATACAAAAACTGGGTTACGGGCCAGAGGTGTGCGGGGTGGGGGGCAGGATTCACCACCGGAGACAGAGTGGGGAACAGAACAGGCAGACTGACTGAAATACATTGACGAGAGATAGTGGGCGAGTCAGGGGAGGTCTGCCGTACCATGTGGGTGGATCTCTGGACGGGGATTGAACTCGTGCTGAAGTGGCTGCGGACAGCTCCATTGGTTGTGTCTTAACCTTTAGCCACCAGGAAAGCCCCTGACCCTTCATTTAAATTTAAAATAAAAAGTCTCCTTTCGCTGTTATTGCATGTGGTGTTCTTTGGCATTTTGTATCTGACAGTGTTATTCAGCCGTCACCACCTTCCAGATTTTTTCATTTCCCAGTAATAAAATACTGCACTCATGAAACTCTCACTCCCAACTGTCCTGTTCCTCAACCCTTGTGTCCACCATTTACTTTCTGTTTTCAAGAGTTTGACAACTCAGACCTGTATTAATTGGAGTCTTGTTACACCTTGTGTTCTTGGTGAATCTCTTATTTTATTGCCTTGTTAACTGTTGTGTCATTTCATAGGTCTCGTACAGGAGTCCCTTCATATTGTAGTGTGTGTCATTGTTTAGTTCCATTGTGAGACCCATTAATATTGTCTTATGTGTATCTACCAGTCTTATTTATCCATTAATCCATCAACTGGGGCTTGGGATGATTTTTGCTTTGGGCTGTAATGACTGGTGGTGCCGTGACTGTAGGTGAGCAGAGGTCTCTGCCCGTCACTGCTGTCCCTGCTATTGATGAACACCCCGGGGTGGGGGTGTGTCCTCCTGTCATGGTGAGTTCCCTTTTCCCAAGAATCACCTTCCTGTCTTCCCTCTTGGCTGCATCATTTATTTGCCCCAGCAGTGCGCAAGGGAGCCAGGTCCCAATTTTTGACAGTACTTGTTCTTTTCTTTCTTTTTAAATCATTGCGATCCCAGCGGATGTAAAATCTCGTCTCTTGTACTTCTCATTCATTTTTCCTTCGTGCCTGGTCGTATTGAGCACGTTCATGTGTTAGGACCCGCTTGGGTGTGTGATTTGCAGAGCTGTGTGTTCCAGTCCTTTCCTCGTGGCTGCGCATTTCCATTTTGAACAGGGTCGAAAGTGCGAGGGGATTGTGTTGTCCCATTTCATCATACGGTGCTTTTATGGCATCCTGAGCCCACTCCTGCTGGGAGGTCCTGTGAGTTTCTGTGCACAGAAATGAGCCATCCACCTTCTCTCTGCTCTTGTTTCATTTCTCGTATTAGCGTTTTTATCAATGAGCCTATAAGAGGAATGCATTTTTGTTTTCCTAGAACTGGGGTGTGCCGGGTTACCTTGCGAGAGTTGCTGTCAGTGCAGCAGGCTCATGGTGTACTGGATGCTGTTGTGTCTTTGCATTTGTTTACTTCATTGTTTAACCCTTTGGATTTGTTTATCCCAGGGAGTCTCTGTCCTTGGTTCTGCTACATGCATTGCTTACTGTTGTCATTTCCCTGGCAGCGTACAGGAGCTCCTGTGTGTGTGAACACGGGTGTGTGTTATACTCACAGTCTGCTCACTGGGTTTTCCTTTCCAGAGTCGCTTTACTGTGGCTTTCATTGGTTTTCCAAGAATGAATTATAGGGTCTCCCCTGGTGGTGCAGTGGTTGAGCGCTGGTTTGCAAGTCTGCACAGAACCTCTTCAGCGCTAGTTCGATCCCCGGACACTGGCGAGGATCCCACCAAAAAAAAAGAGAATGAATTATTACTTGGTGTGACCATTTTTATGCATGTTGTCTTTCTGTTGTTGCTGTTGTGTAGCATCACCCGAACCCATTGTGAATAAGGGGACACTGAGCATCTTTGTTAGTCCTTCTCTCACTGGGAATGTTGATGTCGCCTGTGGCTGTGTCAAGGACTTGCTTTGTGTTGAGGAAAAACACTCTCAATCCGTTTTTTAGTTATTACAAATAGAAATTTATTTTTATGGGGTCCTAATCAATATGTGTGTGGAGGTACGCAAGATTTTCTACACAGGAAATGAAATGATGGAATCAATTTACAGATATCCTGAGAGGTTTGTTTTCTTATACCTAGCGTCATGTTTTCCAAAAGTCTTTCATTGCTATGGTCTATTTTTTTTCTTTCTCCAACAGAAATATTAGTCTCTTCTAGTTGTTTTCCCACTTCTTTCAATACCTTTTGTCTTTTGTTCTGGTCACCGTGTTCCCCCCTAGGGTGATGACAATTATTAATAATATCCTGAGAATTCTCAAATTCTTTTTTTTTTTCTTTTAGATTTATTTATTTTATTTATGCACATAGTGCTCAGGTGTAGGCCACATGTGCAGGGGGTGAGAGGATTCATCAGAGTCAGAGTCAAGAGTAGAACAGGCAGACTGACTGAAATACACTGCTGAGGGGAGCAGCAGAGAGGAGAGATCTGCTGCGCCTTCTGGGTAGATCCCTTGTTGGGACTCTAATTCTTGTTGCAATGGCTGCCGACAGCTTCATAGTGCTGAGACTTAAACTCTTGTGCCACCAGGGAGGCCCTGATTCCCACATTTCTGTTCTCAGCTTAGAGTTCCTGATCCATCACACACATGTCTAGTTGCGTGTGGAATTCCAGTGTCCACCAGCCTGTCATGCGGACAGCATATTAGGAAAACATTCCTCGTACCTCAGCCACCGAGTTATTGCCGAGTTCTCCTCCCCTTTGTCCTTCCGTTTGAGAAGTGATGACCTGTTGTGTCTTCTCTGACTCTGTCAGCTGAACATCTTTTCTTAAAATTTTATTTTATATATAATTTGCATCATTTTTTATTTTGCACAATGAATGCATTTTCATCTTGGTTATAGTCACCGACAATTCCTACCCCCCTTATTTTAACCCTAATCCCTCCTCCCTCCACCCCCTAAAACCCCCTGTTTGAGAAACCCCATCTCTAGTTTATAGTTGCTTGTAGTTGAACATCTCTTACCTGTGCTTTTTCCCCCTTCATTGTTTGAACATTCTGGTTTCGGGTTCAGTTTTTGTTAACTGTGAGTAGGAGATCCCAGGCTTTGAGGTTACAGGAGTAAAACATTGGCACAAACTTGTACATGCTTTTCATTTGTTTTGAAGCTCCTTTAGCACATGATTCCGGATGTGTGTCTGTTACACCTGCCAACCAGTTTATCAGTTCCTCAACAAGCAAATTTTATTGATCCTTTTTTTCTTAGAATCATACAGACTTTCAAATTGATAAGGTAAGCTATAGTTCTGCTTTAAGGACCGAACAGGTGAATGTAGATGCGAGGCTCTTTCAACTGCGAATTCTGTACATCCTATACAGGACCAAAGACCCACAAAATAAGATGTTTACACTTGCTCTGTCTGAACCAGGCTGCCGGCCCTGAGATGAGAAATATTTCCCCAGAAGGGACGGTGTCATTTGAAGACGTGGCTGTGAACTTCACATGGGAGGAGTGGCGCTACCTGAGTGAAGCTCAGAGGACCCTGTACTGGGATGTGATGCTGGAGACCTGCAGTCACCTGGTGTCCCTAGGTGAGGAAGCGCCAGTGTAACACCCTAGTGCAATGCTGTCTTCTGCACCGATAAGTGTGCACTTCCTTATGAAAATGAGTGCTGGTGAGGTTGAACATGCAGGCAGTGTACATTGTGGGTGTTTCGGTTTTTGTTTTTTGTTTTTATTAGGAAAGATTCAGATTGGCCTCTTTTGCACAGCTCTTCACACTGCATTTGTTAGTTTTCAAAGACTCAAGTTGATCGAAGACCACACTGTTTCTCGTCACAGGGCATTGTGTTACCGATCCTGAGGAGAGCATCAGGTCGGGGCAGGGAGTACAGCCGTGGACTGTGGACGATCCCCCAAACCAGGCCCTCTCAGGTTAGTTAGTGCTTGCCAGGCCGGGAGGCTTTGAGGAGGCTGGCAGTGTGGCCAGTGATATTGGCCACACTGAGGTGCTTTTCCATTGTCGAACCTTGGTCAGTGTGTCTGCATATATCAAACTGATTCTTTTTTCTTTCTTTCTTTTTTTTTTTTAAAGATTTATTTATTTATTTATACAAGCATGGGGTACAGTCAGTCAAAAGCGCGGGAGGGCGAGAGAACTCACCAGAGCCGCAGTGGGGAGCAGAGCAGGCAGAAGGACCGAAGTACACTGCTCAGGGGAGCAGCGGGCGGCAGGAGAGGTCTGCGCGCCACGTGGGACCCTCCTCCGGTGGCCGGGGAGCAGCCGGGGATCGAACCGGCGCTGCAGAGGCTGCGGGCAGCTTCGCAACCCAGTGCTCAACCTCTGCGCCACCGGGGAGGCCCTCAAACTGATTCTTTATTCAGTTCCTAAATATTGCTCTCATCGATTTTCTCCTGCTGTTTTAATGGTGGTTGTCTATGCTCTTAAACCATTATGCAGTCCCTGATACTGTGGGGATTATTCTGCATTAATCACGTTTCTGTATTCTCTCTTTTAGTGTATTCTCACAGACTGTTTTCTTTAGGTACCTGTTCAGGAATTTTTTTATTTCTGTGTGTTCATGGGAAGTTTAGCCAGTGGGAAATTTTCTATGAGAGGGGAGAGCAACAGTGCTCACAGAAATGATCTTTGCTTTCTGAAGTTATACACTGTGTGAGGAAAGAATATATAATAAATACATTTATTGATAGAGAGGTAATGCCACAGAGGGTGTTTGACCAGCATGAGTGAAACAAAGTGGAGGAGGATGTGTTTGTGTTTGTGCTCCACACGCATCATTATAGAGATTAATTCTTTTCTTTCAGAGCTCAGGTGAGGTGAATGGCTTGCACTGACATGTCATATCTATAGTTCCCTCTGCAGTCTGGGCTAGAGGCTGTGTATTGCTATTGGAGATGTCACTTTGCACGTGACCAACTCAAAAGGGATAGCGGGGTGTTGACTGGAGAGTTATTTAGAACATGAGTAGTGTTTCAGGGGCAAGCCTTGTGACCGCCCACATAGGCATTGTGAGGTTGAGGAGGACCCAGAAATTGTTCATCATTGGAAGGGATGTTCTGTGACATGGGAAGGGGAACCTGAGGTGGTGGTTTCTAAAGCCATGGCACCAAGAGTTTGAGGTTCGGAGCTCATAACTTGGGGAGCAGTGTGACCTGTGCAATTCCACCTTCTCGTGGCATTGTTGGGAGGAAAGTAAAGGAATCAACGACAGTGTGATGTAGCTGAGAGTCACACACGACATAAAAACTGGAGTTACTATGAACAAAGTAGGAACGTAGGTTCCAAGCAGTGCGGTGAGAATACCAGGTTGTTGCTCTCAGAAGCATGTGGGAAAAGCCTTTAACACTGATAGCCACAGGCTGGTTACAGAACTTTTTTCCTGTCACTCAGCAGGGAACGTGGGACTCAATGATGAGCAGAGTTTGCTGCATGTGTTAGGATTCTGAGCCTTATGTGATATGATATTTAAATAAGAACTGACAGGTCTCTGCCGTGGAGGGAAGCGCATGCCTCTGAGAACCTCTGCAGGTGTCGTGGCCAGGGCCGGGGTGGAAAGAAAAACTACGGAAATGGAGAAGCAGATTCCTTGTGTCTCAGGAGGCCTCTTGCTTAAAGTGCCTGGGCAATGACTGGGTCACTCAGTCCACAGGTTTCCGGAAAAGCCATGGCCTCTGCAGGGCTTGGTTATTCAGAAAGTTCCTGCAAAAGCTGCACAGGGTCAGTCTAAGAAAGAAAGTATGTAGGATCTATGTTGGGTTAAATTCTTCTGGTTGAAACAGACAACTCTAGATAAAGGACTGTTTTTACCAAATATTTATGATTTTATAAAACCATGGTGAAATTAGTTTTACTGCTTTGTTATCCTGGTTTGGCATTAGAAAATCTGTTAATTGGGGCCTCCCTGGAGGCGTAGGGATTAAGTCTCTTGTCTCTCACTATTATGGTCTAAGTTTGATCCACAGTGAAGGAGCTCACCCACTTTGGCACAGCAGACCTCTCCTGTCTCACTCGCTGCTCCCTTCATCCATCTATTTCAGCCAGTCCGCCTGTTCTGTTCCACACACTGTCTCCATGCTCCCCTACAACACCGCCAATCGTGCACCTCTGGCCTACACCCCAGAACTTCTATGCTAAAATACAAAATACCAAGAAATCTATTCTCCCCATAAGTTGCTATGGGCAAAAAGCATGAATCGGAGAATCAATACATGTAAATTGTGTTGTAATATAGGAGCTTTAGTGCCGTTAGTAGTATTCACTCAAAATGCTTCCTTTTTAGAGACATGGTCAATTTTTTCTCACTTTAGATGTCCATACTGGGGATCACCTGACTCAAGATAGCCCTGCAAATCAGGGCAGACATGTGTGGCAAGTTCTTACCGCCAGCAGCAAAATACCATCCAACGAGAGAACTGACTTAATGGAAAAAAGCAATTTGGACTCAATTCATTGTTTGAACCATAGTATCAAAAATGGAAACAATTCAGCAATGATGCCTGAGAAGTTTACTATACATGGGACCATGATGATCCCTGGTGAGCCTCATGAAGAGCATGCTGGAGAGAACGAGGAGGTCTTTAGTAGAATGAGGGAACCCATTAAGTATCCTGAGCACCTTAGTCACCAGGTGATTCAGAACTTTGAACAGCCTTTTGAATTTCGTGAACAAGGAAAAGTCTTGAGCGAAGAAACAATATTTTCACCTAGAGGAGCCCTTCCGGAAGGGGCTGCCCGTAAATGCAATGAGTGCAGGGACACCCGTGATGAGGCACCTTTCGATGTCCGAGACAGAACCCAAGGAGGACATACTCCCTGCAGTTGTAATGAAAAGGGGAGAGCTGCGGAGATGAGTCCAGAGCATTTGAATCCTCCTAGGTATGTTGAACACGAGCAGCAGGAATGTTATGAAAGTGGGGCCAGTCTCAGCAGCACATTTCACACCTATCCGCATGAGAGTACCCAGTTAGGACAGAATAATTTTGGATATAAGAGATATGGTGAAGCGACCTCTAAAACCTCTGTTCTGACTGAACATCAGAAATCACAAGGAGACGATCAACCTGATGAGTGTGGGGGCACCTCTGAGAATTCCTCACAGAGAGGACACCAGAGAAATCTCACTGCAGTGAAGTTGTTTGGCTCTAACGATCATGTGAAAACTTTCTCATGGAAGACTGCCCTCACTGTACATCCACAATCTCAAACGGGAGTGAAGCGCTACCCGTGTCCGGTATGTAAGAAAACTTTCAGGCACAAATCTGTTTTTAGTGTCCATCAGAAAACTCATACAAGGGAAAAACTGTATGAATGTCCGGCGTGCAGGAAAGTGTTCTCCAGTGAGTCGGTTCTTCTTCTACATGAGAGGACTCACATTGGAGAGAAACGCTATGAATGTGATGTGTGTGGGAAAGTTTTTTCCAGTAAATCTTACCTCAGTGAGCATCAGAGAATTCACAGTGGAAAGAAGCCTTTTGAATGTCAAGAGTGCGGGAAGACTTTCTCCTGGAAATCATCCCTCATTCACCATCAGAAAAGTCACACTCAAGAGAAACCCTATAAATGTGAAGGGTGTGGGAAAGCTTTTTCCAGTAAGTCTTACCTCAGTGAACATCAGAAAATTCACAGTGGAGAGAAGCCTTATGAATGTCAAGAGTGTAGGAAGACTTTCCACTGGAAATTATCCCTCAGTATCCATCAGAGAAGTCACACTGGAGAGAAGCCTTATGAATGTCAAGAGTGTAGGATGACTTTCCAGTGGAAATCATCCCTCAGTAACCATCAGAGAATTCACACTGGAGAGAAGCCTTATGAGTGTCAAGTGTGCAGGAAGACTTTCCACTTGAAATCATTCCTCACTGAACATCGGAGACTTCACACTGGTGAGAAATGCTATGATTGTGAAGAGTGTGGGAAAGCTTTTTCTACTAAGGCACACCTCATTAGACATCAGAGAAGTCACACTGGAGAGAAACCCTATGATTGTGAAGAGTGTGGGAAAGCTTTTACTCTAAAGTCATCCCTCAGTCACCATCAGAGAAGTCACACTGGAGAGAAACCCTATGTATGTCAAGGGTGTGGGAAAGCTTTTTCCAGTAAGTCTTACCTCAGTGAGCATCAGAAAATTCACACTGGAGAGAACAATCCTTATGAATGTCAAGAGTGTAGGAAGACTTTCCAGTGGAAATCATCCCTCAGGAAACATAAGAGAAGTCACACTGGCGGGAAGCCTTATGAATGTCAAGAGTGCAGGAAGACTTTCCACCGGAAATCATCCCTCACTGAACATCAGAGACGTCACACTAGTGAGAAACGCTTTGATTGCGAAGGGCGTGGGAAAGCTTTTTCCCGTTAAGTCACACCTCATTAGTCATAAGAGAAGTCACACTGGAGAGAAACCCTGTGATTGTGAAGAGTGTGGGAAAGCTTTTTCTAGTAAACCACACCTCATTACACATCAGAGAATTTATACTCGAGAGAAATCCTGAGTGTCGAGTGTGGGAAAACTTTCCGCCAGCAATCATCCCTCAGTAAACATTAGAGAAGTCACACTGGAGAGAGAAGCCTTTTGAGTGTCAAGAGTGTGGGAAAACTTTTTCCAGTAAGCACTCTCTCACTGGACATCAGAGAAGTCACTGGAGAAAGTCCCTGTGATTGTTAAGAATGTGGGAAAACTTTTCAGGAAGGCAGCCCTCACTAGGCATGACAGAATCCACACTGGATGGAAATGCTATGAATGTCAAGAGTGGACAGGCAGCCCTCCTCTGGTGGCGCAGGTGGTTGAGCGCAGCGCTGTGAAGCTGTCCGTGGCCTTTGCGGTGCGAGTTTGATTCCCTGGCCGGCCAGGAGCAGCCCCATGGTGCGGCAGACCTCTCCTGTCTCATCCGCTGCATGTATTTCAACAGTGTATTTCGGTCAGTCTGCCTGTTCTGTTCCCCGTCTGTCTCTGGTGCATCCTCTCACCCTCCCACACATCTGGCCTGTACCCCGGTTCTTGTATGCTTGAATAAATAAAAATCTTTTAAAAAATATTCAAACTTGTGAGCTCAACCACATCATTCAGCTGAGAGCAATGGGAACTGACATACATTTTCACTCCTAATTGCGTGGCGTTACCTGGTGCACTCTTCTCCCAAGTTCATGCAGTGATGATGTCGCTGTTCCTGTTCCTGTTGCTTCTAGTATCCTCTTCAGTTCCTGGCAATGCCATTCATGTCCACGGTAGCTGTCTCTCTGCAGGGCATACCGCATGTTGCGTGGGTAAGTGATCTCTCTGGGTTATCTAACTTAGTCGTCAGGTTTTGTCCAGTACCCTAAGCCTTGTGGTGCCGCCCGATGCTGGAATTGCTCACCTCCAAAATGTCCTCTAAAAGGAAAAGTTGAACTGTGTGCTATCGGCTGTAGGTTGAGGTCTGCAGGTGTCTTTACCTACTTTTCATGATGAAGGTTTTTCGGGGCCTCCCTGTTGTCCTCGGGGTTAAGTCTCAGCGCTATTGCCTGCTCTGGGGAGGGTTTCACCCCAGCTAGGGAGCCGCCCCACATATGGCCGCAGCAGGCCTCTCCTGTGTCACCCGCTGCTCCCGTTAGCCAGGCATTTCAGTGGTTCTGCCTGTTTGTCGCCACACTCAGTATCTGGTAAATCCTCTCACCCCGAACCTCTGGTCTACACCCCAGTTTTATAAAATGAGGGAATTTTTTTAGAAGATTATTTCCCGCGCGCCTGTCCAAGCTGGCGGCACCTCCTCCCAGGTTCGCGGTCCTCCCTTTTCTACCCCGGGGCGTTGTTCCCTCGCGCCACTGGACACGGGGGTTGCCCAGGGTCTCATGCGCCGGGGACCGCGGGGTGACATAGTCCACGGCCATCGCCCCCTCCCCGCCCCTGTCTGGCTGGCAGGAGAGCACCCTGCCCCCAACCGGGCCTGAATGGTGGCCCCAAAGGAAGGGGAGCCGGTCTCTCTACCCCACCGTATGCTCTGGGGGCAGGTGATGAGGATCTAACCCGGGGCCCCCAGCCACTAACCTCCAGAGAGGATCTTTAGGAAGGAGGCCACAGGGCCTCCCTGGGGAGCAAGGGTCAGACGCTGCTCTGTGAGGCTGTCTGCAGTCTCTGCAGTGCGAGTTCGGTCCGAGCCAGGGAGCTGCCACTGGGGGCAGCAGACCCCTCCTGTCTCCCCGCTGCTCCCCTCAGCAGTGTTTCAGTAGATCCTCCTGTGCTGCTCCCCACTCTCTCTGGTGAATCCTCTCACCCCCCACACCTCTGGCCTGTACCCCAGTTCTGGTATGTATAAACAAAAAATGAGGAGATAAACCCTCCACATGATTAGGTCACGAAGGGCAGGAGGCAAAGTCCCTCTGTTCACGCTTCTTTTCCACTCGGGTAAATTCAAACGTTTTTTGGAAGAAAGTGGATCAGGCGGCTTCCTGGGTGCAAATCTTCACTTTATTTTTTTTTTCAAAGATTTATTTATTCAAGAACCAGGGTACAGGCCAGATGTGCGGGAGGGTGAGAGGATCCCCCAGAGCCAGACGGGGAATCAAACTGGCAGACTGACGAAATACATTGCTGAGGGGAGCAGCGGGCACAACAGGAGGGTTCTGCCGCACCTTGTGAGACCCTCGCAGTCCGGCCGGGATCGAACTGGCGTTGTAGAGGCTGCGGACAGCCTCAAGCGCGATGCTCAACAGTCTGCGCCACCAGGAGAGGCCCCGAAATCAGACTGCGGGATCACAATGACCTGCGCTCCCCTCTTGGCTCCCCTCTTGGCTCCCCGTTGGCTAGTTGCTTTGGCAACTGTCAGTTCAAAACCACATCTGATAGAATGAAAGTCTCCCCGTAATTTGAGCAGAGGCCATGCCAGGGTCTGTATTGGTTCAGGTTGTCCTAAATTGCCTTCTGAGTGGAAACAAGTTTTTTTCTAGCTGGCCTACGAGGCTGTGATTGAATAGGGAGGCAAACCAGTGACTCTATGCTTTTCATTTTTCTAAATTGTTGGTAATGTAAGTTGGGATATTCCTGGGATTTTCATTTTAGGTTTCTCCATTTAGCCATGATACTTGGGAGGTTTCTCCCACGAGGCCTCTGAGCTCCATGTCTGAAACAAAAATTCTCATTTGAGGCTGGGGTATATAGAAAGAAAATCGACTTTTAGAGAAGCATGAAAAATATTTTAGTGAGTTTATTCCAGTTTTATCTGCTGCAGCGCGTGTCGTAGGTAGATGAAGAAATGGGAGGAATAAAGCCCCAGATAGTTGACTTTTTAATACAAAACTCGCTGCAAGTGCACTTGGGATACACGTTAGTGCTCCGTTGGTCCCAGTCTTACCACTTGCAAAGCCTCGACTGGGAGACACAATAGGAAACGGTCATCTTAAGCCCTCGACGGCACTCTGCGGAAGGCTTTGTTTCAGCCCAGATGGTCAATAGCGCCCTTAGGTGTCTGGGCACATGCACTGACTGACCAGGGAAGAACTCCTGGTGATAATCCAGCGCCTTTCGGCTTTGTTTAAGATGTAGCAAGGAACCTGTGGGATAGAGGCAGCACTTACATGTTTTCACATCTAGTTCTGCCGTTCCCTGGTTTACTTTCTGCCACGTGGGGCTGCTTCTAGTACTGAACATGTGGCTGATGCCACTGGTTGCTTTCACAGGGATCCCAAATTCCCAATCCTGAAAGAGGGTGTAAGTCTGATGTTCTGGTATCCACTGGTGTCCAGTGTTTGGAAATGCGCTGGGCTTACTTGGGAAGTTTGGATTCTCTGAGCTTTCTTCTGGAGAGTCTGCAATCACTGTCAGTCTCTCCACGATGGGAGAGGTATTGCAGAGTCCAGCCACATTCCTTAGTTGCCTGGCCTTCATTACCTGTGTCAGGTGTATCTGGACACTTCAGGGGCAGCCTTGGCCCTCTCTAACTCAAGACAGCTCCTCCCAAACACTTTATCTGCAGAGAGCCATTGAGGAACCCCCTGTGCGCCAACATTTCTTGATTTTTCTACTGTGCGCAGTGTTGTAGATCTGTGATTTCATTCATCTGTAAACCACGCTCAGCAGTGGGTATTGCTGGTCCCATTTTATACGTGAGAAAATTGAGACTTGAAGGAAGAGCAGCTTGCCGAAAGTCCATAGATATTCAGCAAAATGGACTCCAAAGCCTTTGCTCTCTATGAAACCCGTTTGCCTCCCTAGAAGGATTTGGGCCTCTGTCCTTCTCCTGGGCAGAAAAGCACTAACTGCGGACTCTGTAGGGGGCTGCCCTCCTACCCTGTGGAGCAGCTGTGATAAGGGCTCACTGCAACCTGCAGTAAATGAGTTTTCTGCCTATTACTCTTCTACTTATCTAGGCAGCCTAGTTTCCCTGTCAAACTTTAAGACTAAGGGAAAATTCCTTTCTCTGTAAGATTACTGATGGTTGGTTGCAGTTGGAAGGAGTTACCAACATTTTATCAGAGTCATGGCCAAAGATGGTTATAGCTAGCTCAGCCAGTCACAAAACTGCTGTCGATTTATTCTCGAATGTGTACTCTGACAGCTTCCATGCCAATTAGCTCCAAATAAACAGGAATGAATTAGCAGGAGTTGACTATGGTGCCTTCTGGCTTACCAAGAGTTTTCTTCTACCTGGAGCTTGGCTCACCTCTGACATTCAATTGTTATCTTTAACTGTAAAGTAAAAGACTTTCCTCCAGTTAGACCTTGCCTTAAATGGCCACATAGCCACACGAAAAGACTTGATACCAGAATTGTCAGGCCTAGTCTCCCAGCCAGGAACAGATTTCAGGCTGCAGGGCAGCGCTGAGCCCCAGCTGCTAGACCCCCCACGGGTTGGTGTCTCACAAAGCTGCAGCAGGAACTTCGCAGACGCTCAGGCAAGCAAGCTAGTAAAGGCAGGTTTGTTTAGAAGAAGAAAAAGTTTATTGAGGAGAAAAGGAGCAGAAATAAAGTGGAACTCCCAGGCCAGGGAACCAGGCCTGGGAGGGGCAAGGAAGCCAAAGTGTGTCTCAGGAAATATATACTTTCTTTCCCTGATTATTCTAAAGCTCTACCAGTCTCTTTGTGATTGTCAGGTCTCAGCTGTCTCACTTAATTTACTACTGAGTGGGAGATCTTCACATTCCTTATCTAACAGGTCTGTCTTTCCCCATTTGTTACATCTATCTTTATGGTGTAGCCCTCCAGGTGAGCATCTTTACACTTTATCTTATCATCTGAAGAAAACCAGGACCATCCTTAACAAGATTATCTGTGGTGCTAGGATGTTTGTTTTTCCCAGTGGAATTGGTTTCATTTCCTTGCTTGTCCTTATCTCTGAAGCCTCCCTAAATTCTTCAGAGGTCCCCTCCTGCACTGTCCCTAAAACTGCCTAATAACCCTAGCTTGCCCTGTCTCAGACTTGGCCCAGGGATGTTTACAGCCTTTTGTTCCCAGAAGTTTTGTCACTTGTTCAAGTAAGGCCAAATGTTGAATTTTGCTGCCATTGGCAGAAAACTACTTATGAAAAATGTAATATTTGTATCACGCACTGCCATTTGCCATCAAACTGGTTATTCAGTGATTGATCAGTATTTGCAGTTTTGCTTTTAAATGCGTATTTTAGCAATGGTCGAAACTAGCCCTAAACAAATGAGGAGACTCTGGCAGGAGTCAGCTAATGAGATTCCTGATTTTTCAGAAATCTGCCCCATGCCGGGACTCTTGTCAGACGACATGAGTAGCATGTTCCCCATGATCTTTGTATTCAGGCCTTTCTGAGCTGGTCTGATGTTCATGCATTCAGCATTTGGCCCACCCAGTTAGACAATCAAGTTGCAACCAATCTTTGCTGCCAGGGGGAACATCACAGCACACACATAACATTCTCACATCTTATAATCGTGTAGCCACACCTAAGAGCAGTTCTGAGCAGTGAGGAAGGGTGAGCACTTAGTCAAAGCTCAAAGTACCATCTGCCCAAATGTAAAATGTGATGATGTATTTTTTCCATCGGGGTGGCCTGGCAGGCAGCCCTTGATAGAAGACTCCACTGTCCCAAGTTTTAGTTCCAATGCAGGAGCTCGTCGTTCCTTCCCTAATCTGGAATTTCTTTGTGATCTTGGTTTTTCTCATATTAGGCCCATTTCTTGTTTTGTAGACCAGGGATTATTTTTTCTCCTAGTGTTATAGGGCAGGCCCTATACTGAATGTGTTGCCTGGCTGTGGTTCCTCACCCACACGCTTACAAGGGACTTATGAATATTCCACTACAGGCACACACAAAAGGTTAATA